GGCTCTTTGGCCCCTTGAGTGTGGCTCTTCCTAAGCCTTAGGAGTACCCTAATTAAGTTAATAACAATGTACCTACCTAGTTTAAGTTTAAAAAATTTGGCTCTCAAAAGAAATTTCAATCATTGTACTGTTGATATTTGGCTCTGTTGACTAATGAGTTTACCGACCACTGATCGAGGGTGATGCAGAGATTGTGTGCACTGTCGCTGCCCCTCATGTTGTTCAGCTACGTAGTGTGAACTGTCCTGTTAGTCACTTGTGTTTTAATTCTATGGCTATTAGCAGTTTGACATTCATTTAGTAAGTATTGAATCTTTGCTGAAAGCTAAGTACTAAAGATAGAATTCATCAGTTCATTCAATAGAATATTCCTAGTAGCCAAGATAGAATTCATTCATTGATTCCACAGAATATTTCTAGTGGTGGCCTTACTTTGTGTCAGGCACTGTACTTGGTACTGAGTATACCAGGAGCGGGTAAAAGAAACATATCCCTGTACCCATGGAGCTTATGGTCTTATGGGGGAAAGTGAAATTTAAGAAGCAAGTACAGATAAAAATGCCATCACCATTGTGGTGAGTACTATCAATGAAAGAGAGCTAAGGGAGGGTAAGGGGACACCTGCTTGTCATTAGGTGGTTAGGGAAGGCTTCTCAGAGAAAGGAATATTTGTGCTAAAGGATGAAGAGGACTTAGCCAGAGATTAGACTTGGACAGGGGGATATTGGGGGCCTGGATGGAAGAGAGGCCTTGCTAACCTGAAGCAGGAAGGAGCTGATGAATTAATGGATGAGAAGCATTCGTTGGTCCTTGTTGTCTTATAATGATGGACATACAAGCAAAAACATTTATGTTACATTGTGACAGGTATGATAATAGTAGTTTGGGTAAGTGCTAACTTGATTTATTGGAATCATGCACTCTGGGAAAGCTTTCTCAAGTAGAAATAATGTAAGTTAAACTTTAAGGGTAAATTGGGGTAATTTATAAGAGCATGAGGAGGTCTTTACACAGCAAATGGATTCCGAAAGAAAGTGCCTGTATGTTACTAATTTTGAAGAGCAGCTATAATGTAAGTATTGTAAGTTATTTCTACAACCTGAAGCGCAGTGAACATAAATAATTGGAAAAAAATGCAGGAATGATCACATTCAGAAAATTGTAGATTTTTAGTGTTTTATATCATTTTAATATGGTAAATACACTGTTTTATTATGTTGTCTTTTAAAGATTATGATATATAGAAACCAGCTTTTGAAAGACTGATTTTTTTCTAGGTATTTATAGTTCTTTAATTATTGTGAAAAATGCAAACATAGGAAAATAGAAAAGTATAATGACTCACTATATTCCTGTCCCTATATATAACAATGAACATTTTTCAATTGCTTTATTTTTGGTTGACGTATTTTAAAAACCTGACATTTTCCCCCAAATACAAAAACATGCATTTCTAAAAAATAAGGACATTTTTTTATATTACCATAAAGCCATTATCAGCCGTAAATATTCACAATAAGTCCTTAATATTACCCAAACCAATCCTGTACAACTTTGCCCTATTTTCCCTACAAGGTCTGCATAATACATTTAGTTGAATAACATCTCTTTGTTCTCAATATAAAATAGTTTCCTCAATACATTCCACTTGTTTTTTCCCTGTACATTTTCTTGTTGAAAACAGAAGGCTATTGTCTATTTACTGTCCTACCTTTAGAATTTGAGTCTCTCTCTCCCTGGATTTCCAGTAAGTGAGGAATTCAGTATAAAAACTTGATTACATTCAGGTTAGATAGTTATTTTTTAAAGTATAAAGAAATACAAGGAAAAGGTCCCCTACTTTGACTTCCAAGATAACTTGTTCCCTCTCGTTCTCCCTTCCTCCATCACCCATCTCCTTTCCCCTCCCTCTTTTCCTCTCCTCACACAAGAATGTAGAGTTAAAAAATTCAAACAGCACAAAAGGATTCAAAACACATTGAAAGCTTCACTGCACCCCAAAGTCAACTACTGGTGATATTTACTTTTTCTTATGAAAGTGGTTTACATTTACCAACATTATATGTAAAAGGCTGATTTTTTTTTTAAATCACCTTAAAAACAACCTTTTGGACTAGAAGGATTAATACAACTTTCTAGCTAATGTTCTATTAATGAACTTCTAACTTCTAAAAGGGTATCTTTTAAATGTAATTCTCAGATGATTCAAACTGCTTATATTTCCATTTTGTTACACAATTCGACTTCTTCGCTTGGAGACTCCACACAGACAGCCCAGGAAACCGATGACAATCTGACTGAGTGCACACAGGAGCTCAAGGTTCCCCACAAGCAGTAGGCCTACAAATACTGAGAAATGGATAGTCTTGTGCCTCTTTTCTTGCAAGTTGTATTTTTTCAAGTCACTGGCCATGGTGTCATTCGTGGTGGAAGAATTTAAACTGTTAGGAGCTACGCAAGATCCATTGAAGTACCACTGTAGATTGAAGGATTGGGGATAAATCCTTCCAGAAAAATAAAAGGTAAGATGTTTAAGAATTTCTGTGGCCATCAAAAGAATGCAACATTGTGCCCAGGAAAGTATAGTAAAACAAAGTACTTTTGAAATGTGCCTAGAAATTATAGCTAAGATCAGGCTTTCTGGGTATGTGTCTATATACTATACTAGGTTAAAGCTTTTTGTTCATTATCTATCCCATCTTTCAACAAACTGTTTCTATGTAGCCCTGGCCAGTGTGGCACAATGGTAGAGTGTTGGCCCTCGACTGAAGGGTCTTGGGTTCGATTCCCAATCAAGGGCATATCCCTCGGTTGCAGATTCATTCCCAGCCCTGGTCTGGGTGTGTGCAGGAGGCAACTAGTCAATATGTGTCTCTCACATGGATGTCTCTCCCTCCCCACCCTCCCTCCCACTCTCCCTAAAAATCAATGGAAAAAAATGTCCTCGGGTGAGGATTAACAAAAAACCAAAAAATGTTTTCTATGTCAAAAGTGGTTGAATATCAGCAATTGCATGTGGTTCAGACTATTTATGCAGACATTCTTCTACTTGCTGAAGATGTGAACATAAAGGAGCTCCCCCTTTGAAGGAGCTCGATTCTTAGTGCAAAACCACAGTGGCATCTGTTCTTAAACCAGAGGTACCGTTTTTACTCAGAGAGACATGTTAATACTATGATTATACCTGAAACCTATATAATTTTATCAGCCAATGTCACCCTAGTAAATCCAATAAAAAAAAATAATATGACTGATTAAAGTTATTTGTGCCCATTGTAACAAGGTATGGATTATGAAAAACATTTTGCCCTAACATATCTATCCTGAGGTCATTTTTCTTTGGTTCACTATACAGTAGGCTAATAGTGAGTTTGCATTTTGGGTACCAGCAACTGCAAGTCTACCTGGAAAAACAAATGGAAAATGAGAATGCACCTTGCAGTTTGCAGCAAGCCTGGGATCCCTCGTGTGTAACCGTTTACTCTCTGTAACTGTCTAGCACCCCAACTAGAGTGGGAATACCTTGAGTTCTGTTACCTCCAGAGCTTAGCCTGATACATGGTGAGCTGTCATCTGCTACAGACTGAAAGAACGTGTGCAGCATCTGTGGTTGAAATATCTCTAATTTTAGATTTCAGATCCTTTAGTAAAGGGAATGTCTGGATTGTGATTCTTAACAACTGTTGTATGAAAGTTTTGAGAGATTTATCTTTTTTAATGTAAGATAAAGGAAAAGGAGGGGGAAATTTTTTATGTAACTGGAAGTCTGGTTATTCTCTAATATAGAGAGAAGTAATGAATTAGATTGTTTTTTTGTTCCAGTTTTTGACATTGTGCTTAGGTGCAGGCACAAAACCATCTTATAAGACTGAAAGGAACCATTTACTTGTAACTCTTCATTATTATTTGTTACTAAGTGACTTAAACTTTTAATTCATTCCTATCCACACATCTATTTATAGTGTGTCCCCATAATCCATCTGCTGCTAGGTTTCTTTTAGGGCTTATAAGTAAGGCTCTAGATTTTATTTATTTGGTTTCTATTCAATTTTTTAAAGTATAGAAGTAATCTGTGCTTCGGGCTTACACAGTTCATTAGTTCAGAAGTGTGGAAAGTCAGTGCTTCCCCAGGGCTTCCTCATCACCATTCTCCGAAGGTGAAAGTTAAGCTTCTGCTGTGTATTTCCAGGAATTTTTAAGGCAAGGATAAGCCATCTGAGTCAATTATCCTTTTCAACAAGACCACACCCGAAACATTCTGAATGTAGTGATTCCTCCACTTTTTATGAGCTTTTGCCAGTTGGAATTAATGTGCTAAATCCATAAGAATCCCAGTAGTTTGATTTTTTTTAAAAAAAAAAAAGTCGCTGTGTGAGCACCACATTATTCTAATCTAAGTAGCTTCGGTGTAAGACAATCAGGGAAAGGTCACTCACCTTAATTTGTCTACTGAAAATTCACAGGTACTGTTGCCTGGAGAATTACAGATGAGAGGACCTTTCAAGAGAGCCTGCAAGGATACCAGCACGCAGAACACAGCACCAAGTATTGTGATTATATTCAGAAATGATGAAAGAAACATCTGAAAAATAAGGTAGTTCATGTGCACATGTCATCATTACATGTTCTTGGTCTGTTTCAAGTTTCAGCATCAGATCTACGGGTTGCCCTTCTCTGGCCACCTTGTAGCCCTAGATGTTAAGATCACAGTTTTATTGGGTGTGAATTATAGAAGAAGGCAGAGGGCAAAGTCTGCCATTTTGTTGAATCACTAAAGGAGTGTTGGCCTTGCCATGTTTTCTGAAAATTCTAAACCTTGTCCATTTTAACTGAGCACTGAGATCTGGTTCCTCAGTCATATTCTGTGTACTTCCTACTTCATAGAAAGAACCTTGACTAGATCATCAGCACCCACACTTTGATGTCCACTCTCTTGACTCCTAAATCTTTAGTCTGGACTTGGCCCTGATCTTGAAAGTGGCCTGAGGTCAGCATCTTGCAGTGAGCGATACAGTGTAGAGTTACAACAGGGCTTCTCGATCCCAGCACAACTGGCCTGTGGGCATTTTGCTGTTGGGGCCTTTCCTGTGCTTGGTACAATGTCGGGCAGCATTCCTGTCTCTCCCCACTAGGTGCCGCTAACACACACCCAGGTGTAGCAACCAGAAATGTTGCCAGACATTGTAAATGTCCCCCTGGGAGCAGGGCGTGTGGGGCAGAGGGTGCATGCAACTGATTTTGGTGCAGCACCACCACTGAGTCAGAGGGAAGACTGTAAGCATCTTTCATTTTGTGAATCAGCACAGGAAAGCAAGCATGAGATTTGGGAATAGGAAGTGTTATGGCCCAAATGAAAGTTGGTTTCCAAAAAGAAGTTCTGTGTTGTGTTAATCACTGTTAATTATGACTTGTAAATCTGCAGAAATAAGGGAAGGATTTCTTTTCCTTTGATGGGGTAATATCGCAGCTCCTAGAGGGGTCACCTGTTGCATTCTTTAGACCTGCTCTTAAAGGGTAGGCAGAGTAAGTGACTATGTATACAGTGTGTGTCGAGGGAGCTTGGGCTTTGCTATCCTTTCAGTAACCCCACGAGATGGATGCTATTATTCCCATCTTATGGTTGAGAAAATGCAGTCCAGGGAGGTTGGCAAGGTGTCAGGACCTCACGGCTGGTAAACGTGAGTGCTCAGGTCTAATCACTAACTACATTCCTTCCAGCCAAAAGCCCAGAATGATGGGTTTGAGTGTGATTCAAATCCTGCTTCTCCCACACTACTGTTCAATTTGCTCATCAAGAAGCGTCACTGTGTTTATATTTTGGTCATCTATGATTTCTGACTTCTCATCACTGCAGAGAGGCCTGGCTTTAGAAAGTGATTCCAACATCTGTATTTCCCCTAGACTTGGGGTTCATTTAAATGACTCAGGAAAACCTAAGTATTCAGAAGCAAAATCAATAAATGGATAAAGGGAAGGAGCAGGGAACAGTTCAAGTAGGGGAAATAGTGGGAACAGTTAAGATAGAGGACAAGTCTTGGGGACCACCTCTTCCCTCCCTCCCAAGATCTAGCCTTTGCCACTTTTATGATGCTTTGGTATATACTTGAAAGATACAAGATATGACTTAAACACCAGTCCTCACATGGCTGGTGAGAAAAGTGCCTAAAAACTTTAATCAGTATAAACTGGTGATTTAATGGCCAGCACCACTATTATTACACACTGCCCCCTACCCTTGGCCAGTGAGTCAAGCCCAACAACTGCGTGAAAAGGTGGTTTGATTATTCTCAACTCTCTGTCCCTAAAGGAGAGAGAAAAATAGTCATTGAAAAGATGACAAATTTGTCATGACAGGATATGTGCAGGGGGCAGGGAGATATTCTTAATGGAAATATGATCTGAGAGAAAAATATATAAGTATTCTGATGTCTTTAAGTTTGAGGATTCAGAAATATTTCAGGATATCTTTCTCAAGAATGTTTGGCCCTGGCTGGTTTGGCTCAGTGGATGGAATGTCGGCTTGCGGACTGGGGGATCTCAGGTTCGATTCCAGTTGGGGGCGCATGCCTGGGTTGCGGGCTCGATCCCCAGTGGGGGGCGTTCAGGAGGCAGCCAATCAATGATTCTCTCTCATCATTGATGTTTCTGTCTCTCCCTCTTCCTTCCTCTCTGAAATCAATAAAAACATATTTTTAAAAAACACATGAATGTTTGGAATACAACATAGAGGTAATGCAAAATCAAACTCCAAGGGATAATAGTTTAAAAAGAAAAGCGCAAGGAAGGGAAACTAAAAACTAAGATTGACTGACTACCTGCAATGTATCAGGAACAAAGAGAGACTATAAATAATTAGCAAAGTAGTTATAACCCTAGATATCAAATGACAGAAAAGGGTAATTTTTAAAAATACAAATGTGTAATATTAATCTAAATATGTATCTCTTTAAACAGTGGTTCTCACCCCTGAGAACACATTAGAGTCACCTAGAGTGTTTTTGAAAAATACTGATGCTGCATCTCAGGGGAAGGGGGTAGAGGTGGAGAGATATTTTTAAGATCCTCCCTGGTGATTCTAACATCCCCATCAGGCTGAGAACCATCGCTTTCAAACCCCAAGCTCAGCCAGGAACTCACTGTGAGTGCTCATTTATTCGTCTACGCCTTCCTTAGAGAATTATGAGCCCGCACACAGTGTTATTAACAATGTTCGTGGCATCAGTAGTGTAGACATTGTGACTTTGAGAGTCTGATGGATTGAGATAAAAGTTCACTTACTGGCTGTGCTACACTGGCAAGTTATTTGCTTTCTCTGAGCATCAGTTTCTCGGTCAATAAAGCGGATCATATTTCAAAACTAAAGGGTTTTGAAAGAAATAAGATAACTTATTTGAATCTGTTCTGAGCATAGTGACAGAAGGTTAATAAGTATTCATTATTTTCCTTTTAACTTAGTTAAAATCTTATTCATAATAGGTATGTACTAAATGTTAGAAAAAAAATAACTAGTGTCTTCTTTAATTTAATCGCATCAAGCAATGAGCATTCCGAGCCTAGCAAACCAATCTTTCATATGCATGAGAGAACTGAGGTTACGTTTTCCTTAAGTATTTTATACACAGCACAAAAATAACAAGTCTTGTTATTCTGAAATTGGTTGCAGCTCTGGGTGTGATTTCTAAATCTCCTTCCTTTGAAAACCTTTAGATAGTGAAACTGAAGATTGGGGAGAGGTGTGAGGCTGGCTCCAAAGTTACACTTTTATGGAGAGGAAAAAAAAACCCTCACACTTTCTGTATCATCATACAAGCATCCTAATAGGACGTCCTAAGACTGTGGTCCTGCCACTGGAACCACACAGTGATTTGGTAGCTACCAAAGCCCCAAGTGGCTTTGCTCAGCTGTCCATACGATTGGTGCACTTTCCCCCCCTCCCCTCGCCGCTCGGTACTCACCCCGCCTCTGTTGTTGCAGCACGCTCTTTTCCTCGCTGCCAAAGACATTGTTGTTGCTGGAATAGCCTGGAAATTACATCAACAGGAAAGATGAGTCTTACTACTTCTCATCAGATGAGAAAGCAGTCATCTCTACCTCCTATTTACCAGCAGTTGTGGGAAATCAAGACTCAAGAGAACAAGAAGGAAGTGTGGCAACGTCCTTGATCTTGTGATTCCATTTCAACCCTAAAGATTAAAGAGCTGGAAGGGATGGTGGGATTTCAGGAGAGCAGTTTCAAATTCTCCCATCTACATCACTTTACTCTGGGTCATCTTTAGAGAGACCTGAATTTTATTGTTTTTTAATATGTTTTCTTATTGATTTCAGAGAGAGGAAATGAGAGGAGAAATAGAAACATTAATGATGAGAGAGAATCATTGATCAGCTGCCTCCTGCACACCCTTTACTGGGGATGGAGCCTGCAACCTCGCCATGTTCCCTAACTGGGAATCCAACCTTGACCTCCTGGTTCATGGGTCGAAGTTCAACCACTAAGCCATACCAGCTGGGCTAGAGAGACTTGGATTTTAAATTGAGTGAGTTATTTAGTCATTATTTTGGAAGGAGTATTTCTGAAAGAATTGGTTATGTCATCTAAAATTCACTTTTTCTCTTTTAGTTATTATAATCTGCAGCCACTATCTAATTTCCCAAAAGCTGTCTGAATCTGGCAAGCATCCAGAAAGGAAATTACTGGTTTTGTTTGCCTCACAGTTGGGAACTAAGAATTCCATCACCACTCCTTTCTCTTCCCTAACTTTCCTCTCACTCCTGGGTCACTGCCATCTCTCTGGTTCCCAGCTTAGGATTTGGGAAATATTTTTGGTTCCACATTCTGCTTTCTACTCCTTTACACATGATATGTAATGGCCTTCCTTTACGTTGATGTTCAGCAATCGTGTACATACTGCATTCTGTATCAAGGGAAATATATTCTGCCGAGGAACGCTCTAAGAAGCGACCTCACATTCTGAGGACTTAGTTTAAGTTTTCAGTCCTATCTAGTCAGCAGCTGTGACTAGAAATTCTTACTGGAAGAAGCTTTGAAGAGTGAGCTGTAAATTACTTCCCTTCCACTTGAGAAATTTTAGCCATAAGGTGGGGTTTTTGCCACCTCAGCACAGCTGCCTTTGAGTAGTTAGTTCTGTCTTTCCTCCTGCCCTTATTTTCTAACATTTTATTGAATTCTGATGACATGCCAGGCACTGTCATAGGTGCTGTACATGTTTCAGTTCATTCCAGCCTCAACCAGCCTCTTTTTATCCTCATCTTACAATGAGAAAACTGAGGCATAGAAAGTTTGAGTAACTTCTCTGGCCTCAACCAGCCTCTTTTTATCCTCATCTTACGAGAAAACTGAGGCATAGAAAGTTTGAGTAACTTCTCTAAGAAAGTGGAAGAGTTTGGATTTGAAGCGAGGCATTTGGTTTCCAAAGCCCAGACTCTTCACCGCTATCCACACTGGATAATTCTTATAGTTCTCCTCTGTTCCTTCACAGAGTTGGTTCATTCTCATCCCCCCGCCCCGCCCCGGCTCATCTCATTGTCCTCTGTTCCTTCCCCAAATTCTTTTTCCCAAGACCACATCTACCTTTGCTTTTCCAGAGCAGGTCTAGCATTTAATGCCTGACAAGGCAGCTTTCCTAACAAACTTCACCCCCTCTGACCATGTGCTGACCCCATGGCTCTTGTGGAGAACACTTTGTATTGTTATCAAACTTGGCTTACATATTACCTTGAATTCCAACACCTTTATAATTCAAAGGTCACATGTATGTAGGGCAGCCCAGCCATTCTGGGGTGGAGCTAAGAGCCCAGAGGAAAAGGGAGGAAAAATGTAGCCCCAAAATAGGTTGTCAGTGTTAATGGACTAAATCTCTTTTGTCGTACTCATAAGCTATACTGCCTTCTGAGCTTAAGAAACAATTCATTTACAGGAACTGGCAGACTATGGCCCACCACTTCTTTGTCATAAAGTTTTATTAGAACTCAGCCTTGCCCATTCACTTATATTGTCTACGACTACTCTCACACCAACAGTGCAGTTGAATAGCTGTGAGAGGGACTGTCTGGCTCTCAAAGCCTAAAATATTCATGATATGTTGTTTTTTTACAGAAAAAAAATTATCAATCGCTGATTTAGAAAATTAATCTCTTAGAAGAAAGTTAGATCAACATTAAATTACAGCTTCAGTGGATGAATCATTTCATTTTACTTATTGATGTAAATTAAACTCTGCTGACTTTTTAGGATTTATTTCAGAGATGCTGAATATTTATTTTTATAGTTCTCTTCCCTTGCAAAGGGTTTTATAAAGTAATAATAACATGCCATGAAGTCCCCTCCCAGTTGACTTCATGGCATGTCAACACATCTTTGTTACATCACAACTCACTGTTTTTCAACTCTTTTGCCCATTCAGAGCTGTAGAAATTGAAATGCTCTCTAAGGAATGGATATTAAAATATGAGAAAGTGTATAGGTGTATGTGTGACTGAGTCATAAATCTTCCAGATAATCTGTCAAAATTAGTACTTATGAGAATACTCTTTTTTTAATTCCTAAGCACATTTGAATGCATGAGAGTTTTTGTGAAACTAACAGCCCTGACAGTCATTTGCTTTTATAAAGAAGTAGTATTGTTCATTCTTCCTTACAGAAACCCATCCTTTTATGCAGTTTTAGAAATGAGTGTACGACTTACAAATGCAGTACAGAAAAGCTATGGACCACTGAAACTCGGTAACACAATTCAAACCCTAGGGATCCTCTAAGTACCTGACCCTGAGAGCAACCCAAAGCCACAGCTCATCACAAGTATAAAAACTATATTTTGCCCTAACCGGTTTGGCTCAGTGGATAGTGCGTCGGCCTGCGGACTGAAGGGTCCCAGGTTCGATTCCGGTCAAGGGCATGTACCTTGGTTGCGGGCACATACCCAGTAGGGAGTGTGTAGGAGACAGCTGATCGATGGTACTCTCTCATCGATGTTTCTACTTCCTTTTCCCTCTCCCTTCCTCTCTGCAAAAATCAATAAAATATATTTCAAAAAAAAACCTATATTTTGCAAATGCTTGTTACACAAACACCTAACTTGTTTAACATTCAACATTTTTTTCTAAGACTTAATAATTGATGAATTACCATTGTATAATAAGTGTACTCAATGAATAAGCGTGATTAAGATCAGGTTTACAGTTAATCTTATATCAAATGGCCTTAATACAGGGATGGGAAAAGCAAGTATATAGTTGTGAATACCCGAAACACAGTTTATTTTTGTATTATTATTCATTAACTAGAGGCCCGATGCATGACATTCATGCACTTGGGGGGGAGGGGGGAGACTCAGCCCGGCCTGCGCCCTTTCGCAGTATGGGAGCCCTTGGGAGATGTCCAACTGTGGCTTAGGCCTGCTCCCTGTCAGATATCCTTAGCGCTGCCGCAGAGGCAGGCCACTGCGCTCACCAGCTGTCAGCCCAGCTTGTGGCTGAACAGTACTCCCCATGTGAGAGTGCACTGACCACCAGGGGGCAACTCCTGCATTGAGCGTCTGCCCCCTGGTGGTCAGTGTGCATCATAGCAACCGGTAGTTCCTCCATTCGGTCGATTTGCATATTACCCTTTTATTATATAGGACTAGAGGCCCGGTGCACAAAAATT